AAAAAAAAAAGTAAAATAAGTAAATTACATAAAAAAAAAAGGTTAATAAAGCATCAATGATTCTGCCCGGCGGGTGGGACGGGCTGGGCATTTGGAGCGGGTCCAACGAATCTGGCGGGCTAACACGGGCCAATTTGCAAAACGGGCTAGTGCATGAAACCGGCCCGTTTTTATGTCCAGGTCCGGTTCAACCGGTTCAACCGGCCGGGCCGGGCCGGGTTTTAAAACCATGAAAAAAAATTGATATGGTTCCTTTTTGATTGAAAAAGACATTTTTTGACTGAATATACTTTGTTGACAAAGGAAACTCACGTCACATTTTTTCACGCTCTCCTTTCCCCACTTCACATACACCATTGTTTTCTGCTCTTCCGCCCCCACTTTTCTCCATCTTCGTATCCATGTGGAGGCTCCTCCTGATTTTAGTTTTTGGTCTCTTGGTGCGATCAACTCATGGTGTCGCACCGTCTGATTATGGAGATGCATTATCTAAAAGTCTTCTCTTTTTCGAAGCACAGAGGTCAGGAAAGCTCCCTCAATCGCAAAGGGTAAAGTGGCGCCAAGACTCTTCTCTTCGCGATGGCTTCCAATCTCATGTGAGTATGAATAACTGTTTCTATGCAGAGAGAGAATAGAGAGGTTTTCAATTCCCGATTGGGATTTTTTCTTTTGGTTATAGAGTTTTGACAACATCGCAGTAAAAAAATCAACAAATCCATTGATTTTACAGAAACTGAATGATGCAGAGGAGGAAGGAACTAATATATTTATTAGGATTTTATTATGATTATTAATAAATAGGAATTAAATGGAAATATTTACATTTATTAGGATCTGTTATTGTCTCTTTTCAATTGGGGGTTTAATTGGGAAGTAAGCCTAATTTGGCTTTTTAGGTTTTTGATTCCGAATTGGGATTTTTCCTTTGGTTAATGACTTTTGACATATCTTGGTTAAAAATCAACAAAGGCATAGATTTTAGGGAAACTGAGTTCATTGTATTTGAATTGTACTTAATGGATTTAACTCTATTTGGATAGAGGTATAGAAAGAGTATCTTTGGAAATTTGTCTTATGCCAATTCTGAACTCTATTTTAGTTTTTATATTGTCGTGGTGGCTTTTTGATATTTATTTTCTTGAGGATATTATTTGTCTTTTTTTTTTAGAATTTTTATAAGCTATTATGTTTATTTTTCATTTTATTTATTAAATTTATATTTTTTTTGTTTTTTTAAATGGCTTTTTTTTTCCCCCAAATTCAGAAAACTTCTTGTAAATTAATACACTTTTTTGAACTAGGTTGATTTGGTAGGAGGATACTATAGTGGTGGTGACAACCTTAAATCAAGCTTTGAAATGGCATATTCAATCACTATGCTCTCTTGGAGTGTGCTAGAGTTTGGTAGCTACATGGAACTGGAATTGCAGTATGCAAAAGATGCCATTCGGTGGGGGACTGATTTCCTTCTCAAAGCAACAAACTCCTTTGGCTATGTATATATTCAAGTAGGAAACCAAAATCACAGTGGGCAGAACTGCTGGCAGAGGCCTGAGGATTTAGATGGCCCTAGACAACTTTATGTTGTCAGCAAACAATCTCCTGGATCAGATGTTACAGCGGAAATTGCTTCTGCACTCGCTGCGTCTTCCATGGTTTTTAAGCATATTGACCCTGCCTATTCTGCAAAGCTCCTTGAAAGATCTGAAAAGGTATTAATCTGTGAATTTTTTTTTCACATTATGTTTTAGCATGTTCAACGAGTAACACCTAGTTTTTCTTCACAGATTTTTCAATTTGCAGATGAGAATCGAGGTCCATACATCATTAGTTTGGGTCCATGGGTGTGCCCCTTTGGTTGTTCAGCTGAATATGAGGTTAGTTTTTTCAGCGTTGATGCAACTTTAACGGTAAATTATGATCGTTTTGAAGTTTATGTGCAATGAATTAGGGAAATAAATGAGTTGTGGGCTTAATCAAATATTTAATATGGTCTGTTGTATTTTGTGGGGTGGTCTTTGATTGTGTAATATATGTTCCTATGTTATACGGTATACATAATTTCTAATCTATGATAAGTTAACCAAGAAAAGAAGCAGAGTACTTTACTGAAAAAATGATGCAGGAGCCTGTCGAAGAAGCCAAAGGAATTGGTTGAACTTTGATACTCTACTATTTTTAGCTATAGTATAGAATTAGGGTTAATGTATTTGGGGAGTTCATATTTTTAGTGGATTTTTTTCTTGGGGAGTTTGAGTCTGCTTCACCATCCCTTGTTGTTCAACTCTATCTTGAGGAGTTCAAGTCTTCTTAGTGTAAGGGTTGAGTCTACCCCGTGCCTTACATCAAAAACATCAAAAAAAAAATAGGGGTGGGGGGTGTGGTTTATGTCAAACTTGTTAACTTCCTTGTGTGTCACTTTTGCAAATGAATTTATTTTTTCTCTCATATAACCAAATGAAACTGAAAATCCTTGAGAAATGAAATGCATTAGTAATATGGCACCAATTACCAAGATAGTGGAAAGAAGGTAAATATATACCAAATCCTCAGCACTTAAGCTTCATAAATTACTATTTAAAATCTTTTGCTCCCTTTTTCCAAGATGGATCATCATTTTGGGGATGAAGCTGTTAGTATCCTGCTTGTTCTTGTTCTTTGCCAGGACAATTACTGGGTTTTTGTGTCAGGGATTAGAGAATTGTAGTAAAAACTTAAAGGGAGATTAAATAATGTTAAAATTTACTCAAGCTATTTAAAGTAGGATATCCACAGAGGTATAGAAATTTTGGACACATTTTCATTACATTGATGGATTTTTGCTTAAAGATTTTTAAGCATTTGATAAAACAACCAGGTAATTGAAACAGAATACTGGAATATTTGCATTCCGATCAAAAGGCTTCTTTGCATGACTTAGAAATGCTGGATTGCTCAAAAGCACAGTTGTACAGTGCTTCCTGTTGTGAAGCTTTTACTATCTACTTTATGTGGACTGCATAGATCATCAACTGCTTTACTATCTATTTAGTGTCTTTCCCACTTTCAGTGGTTTGGACCATAATTTCACAAATAGAACTCAGGTCATTGTTGTACTTCTCTATAATGGTTAATGGTAAAAGCAGATCAGTTCCATATTCAAGAATATTGCTTGAACATATCCTTAGCAAGTCATGACCAGACCTGCTCCTTCCTTGGGAGAGATCACGTATGACTTTTATAACCCAAATAGTCATAAATTATTTGAAAACAGCCATAAGTGGTTTGAAGAAAACAGCTTTGCTTTCAACAATTTGGTGATTCTTGAGTTCAAAATAAAACTCTGGTTATAGTTTGCAAAATAGCATAGATTACAGGACACATTTACATAAAAAGATGTAGTTTGAGCCTTTTAGTTTTGATAGATACAAGTTTACCTCACCAAGATCAACACGAGCTTTGGTTGGAGCATGTAGAGCCACCTAGCTAAAAAAGTCCTCTGCCTCCCAAAGATCTAACTATCTGAAATGAGTGAGAAGTAGGGTATGAACTCACAGCTCATATCTGGATGTTAAGAACCTTCTATAATTTGAAGTACTTAACCATTAAATTAAACACTTAATAGACTGAATTGTCAGAAACAGTAATTCCAGTAGCTGCACTAGGCTAGAATAATACCACTCTTATTAAACAATATTCCATTGCTATGTACTAGCATTCAGTTTAGTCAATAGCAATACAATAACAAAATATGATACCCCAGAACCAATGCAATCCAAAATAAGTTTTCATACACTAAGCAATCCAAATTAAGTTTAGTCATGGATACTCCAGAACCAATGCAAATCCCAGTTTCCTTCTCTCCGGACTGTCCTTGCCCCAGCCATAACCCGGCAAATCAGCCCTCATCACAAGTTGAAACAAAAGGCAAAATGCAGTTAAAGACATACCAGATCAAACAAAAAAGAGCGACTAGGCATCCAATTCAAGCAAGAGGGATGCCAACTCAATGCACATACTGAACATGAACTGACATAACTGATCCCTCCCCAAAAGAAATCTGAAACATAGTGAACAGCAGATGGGCACAACCAAAGGAAAAGAAATAAATTGTTGCAATTCCAGAGCAAGAGTTTTTGTGATGGAACGGCAACCAAAAAGTTCTTCTTTGAGGCATAAGCTCTCTTTCCAGCAGCAGTCCAGCAACAGTAGATCTTCTTTCATGCTGAATTTCCCCTGCTCTGAACATCAGAAAGGTGAATCCCATCTCACTTAACCAAGAATACATGAGAAAGGAAAACTTAAAACAACAGTGACAAAGGCTGTATAGTAAAAGAAAAACAAACGTCAAAAATCAAATAAAATTATAAAATTGCCCAACTGCTTACAAAATTGCACCCCCAAAGTCATAGAAATTTCTGCCCATCTCATAGAGCAATGCCATTTCTTGGGTCTCTTTTATGTTCTTTAGATTTGGGACTGTCAAACCATACAACTGATACTGTGGTAGCTATGGTAAGTCATTGTTAGCGCAATTCTGCACCAACTCTTGGCAAATTCAATAAAGCATATTCACTGGTATATGCAGAGCCAGTTCCATCTAATCTAAATATATAGTCATAACTATTAAAGTCGGGTTCTTTCACAATTAACAGCAAAGTATGTTCAAGTGAATAAATAAAGTGCATCTTATTATGTAAAACACATACAAACTCTAATGGAAAATACTTACTGCTAGATATGAAACTACATTTGCATAAGAATCATGCGGAGCTTGATCTTGCTCAAGTGAATCTAAAATATTTTTACAGGACGAATTAATTTGGGCAGCAGCATGGTTGTACAATGCCACAAAGCTTGAAAAATACCAGAACTACATTTTTCAGAACATGAGCAAACTGGAGGCCTATTTTTCCAATGGTAGCTTTTCAGAATTCGGGTGGGATAACAAACATGCTGGTATAAATGTCCTCATTTCTAAGGCAAGTGCTCAACAATCTTTTGTTCTTTGTAAGAAAATTAATTGGAACTCTTTGAGCTTAATATTCTTCACTGCCATTGGGTCATTTCTCTTTTTCTCTCTCTTTTTTTTTTTTTTGGTTTGCAGTTGAACATGACTGACACAGAGAGTTCTCACCTATTTCTTTCCAATGCCGATAAGTTGGTGTGTTCATTGTTGCCCAATTCAGGGACCTCAAGTGCCTCCTTCTTACAAGGTGGTTGATTTTTTTTTTTTTTTTGGTCAAAAACTTTGTTGATAATTTGCAATTTTGCACACTTCATCAGCTAATTTTCCTTTAAAATACATTCTAGGTGGGCTTCTTTTCAAACAAGGCGGAAGCAGCCTAGAACATGCCACAGCTCTATCGTTCCTTCTACTGGTCTATGGGCGCACTTTGGGTCAAACCAGGAGACAAGTCCATTGTGGTGAGACGATCGTTACTCCTGAAAGGCTTACAGAGTTCGCAAGAGGCCAGGTAATTGGAACTTGCACATGATATAATATTCAACCATCATTCCCGCAGTCCACAATTGGACCTGACCTGATTCAGGCATTTCATCAATACAGGTGGATTACATTCTAGGAAACAATCCGTTGGGCATTTCGTTCATGGTTGGATATGGGAAGAAATACCCACAGAGAATACGCCATAAAGGATCTTCACTGCCATCCAAGTCGACACACCCAAAGCGCATTGATTGTAAGGAAGGATTATCTTATTACAACAGCTCAGATCCCAATCCCAATTTGGTAATTGGAGCTGTGGTTGGAGGACCTGATATCAACGGTGTATATGATGATTCTAGGGATTCAATGCACTCGGAGCCAAAAATGTATATTAACGCCCCACTTGTGGGTGTTCTCGCATACTTAAAGTCACACCATTAACGGATCCGTCTTGCTCCCGTGCACTGCTCCCTGGGTTGAGGTCAGCGACGGCAAGTTTCCTTCTTGGGCTTTTTCTCTGGTAGAAGAGTTCATCACTAATAACTTACTGTTTGGATAGAATATGGGAAAGGGAAGGGAAGGGGATGGAGGAAAATAAAAGGAAATGGAGGGGAAGGAAAAAAAAGGGAAGGGAAGAAATTGGAAAGAAATTATTTGTATTAATTTTGTTTGGATAAATAAAAATGAAGAAGGGAAAGGGAAGGAAATAATTGTATTTTTATGTTTGAATAATTACGGTAAAAAAACAATTAAATTAATTTTAAATTTTTAAATTTGTAAATTTACCCTTAAACTTGTAATGGGATTGTATGTTATTTCCCCTTGTTATTATTAGCTTAGCTCATTCAATCACTCCATTATCCACCACAAACAAGTACGAGAGAGGACAAAAATTGACAATGTGGTTCTGAGGTTCAATAAGTTGGTTTAGAAAGTGTGAACAGGATTTATCAAAAGAGCAGATACCTTAACCTTGTGGGGCGGGGACCGGTGCTGCCGCTGTGGCAGGATTATTGTGGTGGAAGGGGAGTCACCGGCGGACCAATTGTTGGAGAAGAAGAAGCCCAGAGTAAATCAGCTACAAGAGCAAGCACCAAGAGCAGGACGCATCCCAAAATCAATCTTGTAGTTGCAGAAGTATGCTTTCCCGTCGTCGGCCTCGCCATTGAATCCAATCAATTCTCATTCATTCCTCAAGATCATCAGAAACCCACTCCATTTGTCCTCTCTACAGAAACTTTTCTACTTAAATTGGAACAAGATCCACCGCCACTGCCTTGCTTGGAATGAATTTTTCCGTTTTTCTTTAGAAAAAAAAAAAATGAAGCTGTCACGCGATATGATAATCTGTATTACGGAAGGAGATATACAGCTCCAAACAAATGCAGCAACAGACTTGGAACTAAAAAACAGAGAAGCAAAAATATGATAAATAACGAGTGTTCAAGCTATACTCACTGGCTTATGGCTTCAGTTGATTCTTCTGGTTCTGATGCTGTTGCCGCAAGAAGGAGGAGGACAATTTATGATAATAAATGAAAATGTTAATTTTATAATTATCTTTACACCATGTTTGGATAAAAATTAGTAAAGGGGAGTGAAGGAAAGGGAGGGGAAGTAGAGAGAGGGGAAGGAAAGGAGAGTAAAAGATTAGTATTAATTTTGTTTGGATAGAATAAAAAAGA